TTAAATCAATTATTATTCTTTTGGAATATGCTCAGAATATCCTAATCAATCTTATCCAAAATTAACCACTTTAATTAGGATAATTACCAATTTAACAACTTTAAATATGGATAATACCAAATATAACAACTTTTGAATATTTGATTTTATCCTAAAATAAAAGATTTTATCCAAATAAAACCAATTTTATCTTTTAAAATAAAATATCATATTTTCAAAATATTTTATCTTATCCAAAATAAAACTGATTTTATCTCAAAATAATTCATAATTATCTTGATGACAGCCACTGCCGCAAGGGCAGCAGCGCCAGCAGCCGTGCAACGCTTGTACGCTGCCCACAGCCACCCCCGACCCCCGACCTGGCTGATGACAGCCACTGCCGCAAGGGCAGCAGCGTGGCTGCAGCACCAGCAGCCGTGCAACGCTTGCACGCTGCTGCCCACAACTACCCCCGACCTCCGCCCTCCCCTTCCTCTCCCTCTTGGACCAGCAGCGGCGACAGCCACAGTGGCTGCCGCCTCTATTTTTTTTTTTTTTTTTTTTGAAATTTTAATTTAATTAAATAACACTTATCATAATTAAATTAAATCAGTCCATAAGATTAAAATTAAATCACATTCAACTTTAAAATTAGGGTTTATCATAAAATTAATCCCAATTTAATTCTAACTATTAAAATTAAATTTATGATCATACACAAAACACTTTTATGCATAAATCAATCCGATTAAAATTATGAAACATAAAATTAATCGAATTAAATCAAAATCAAGCATAAAATCATATTTTAGGGCTAGGATTTTCGAAAAAATTCGAAATTTAGGGTTAGGGGGTTCGAAAATTTCGAATAATTTAGGGCTAAAATTCGGTCTCTTCATGGCTATTTTGAGCATAATTAAATCACATTTAATCGATTCAAAAAGTTTAATCACATTAAAATAATAATTGAACCATAATTAAATTAATTTCTCCCTCTTAATTGATTATAAAATTAACATGGACATCAAATAATCGTATTTTTATGATCTAGCGCGTTCATGCAAGAGGCTAACCGATACCACTATAGGATTTTATAGGTACTACGCAGCGGGAAAACATGAATCATATTCAATCAAGTACCAATCCAAAATCGCATGCATAACACACAAGACACATAATCATACCTTTGACGTGTGAATTCCACGTAGCTATTCGACAGGCAAATCAGGGAGAGAATAGAGCCCCAAGCTTTGCTCCTCTACTTAGTCCACGGGATTCGAATGAGCCGTCCACCAATACTAGATTGGTCGAGTGATTGAGGAAAACCGCGATCACCACCTTTATGGACAACCGACCACCGCACGAACCACCACCACGAACCACCACCGGCGTGAGGAGGAGGAGAGAGCCGTGTGAGAGAGAGGACTTTGAGAGGGGTTGGGTTTCGTGTTTGCTAATTAGGGTTTGATCAATTTGAAATTGCTTACACTTCTTGCAAATCTAGGCACCTAGTCTATTTATAATCTTATTATAATCAGACTAGGGCACGAATCCCAAAACCACTTCTAATCCCCATATGGGCCTCGTCCTTTAATGCTCGATCTAGCCCCTTTGTGTGACCTTATAGGATCCGTCCAATTGGGCTTTGGGCTATTTTACTAGTCCAAAGATCGTTAGTACCTCTAGCTATGGCAAAATGACGACCCAAAAGTACGAACTTAATTATCTCTGTAATTTGATCCATTTATATATCTAGTAATTGCACACGACGAAGACATAACTCCTTCAGTTTTTACTTTACTATGGGTTTTGGGGAGGCATTGGTTTACCATGCTGCTGCATAGGTCCCTTAAGTGTTAGAATCCAATCTACTCTGTCTATATTAAATGCTTTGTAGGTCTTTTGCTCAAGTTTTCTAGGCCTTAGAATATATCATTATGAATTTTTCAATCTGGTGAGCTACACTGGGAACATCATATAAATCCAAAAAGCTCTTTAGGTAGCAATGATCAATGAAAATCCAAGCTTCCTCCCAGCGTTGTTTTTGCTATAATGCTTGTGCTGATGTTAGACCTTTATAGATATTGTGTCAATGCATTTATTATTCAACTACAAACTCACCGAAAGCTGTAGAAACTCAGTGACTCGGTCCCAGTTCTGTCCACCTCACCCACTCTTATGCCAGTCGGCTAGAATGCATTTCGAATTATTTAATGCTCACTTGTGTTTCTTCTTGATCACCTTGTCCATTTTTGTACAAGGCTTGTACCATTGCTAAGTTAGCACTGCACGATTAAAGCAAAAAATCTGGACTAGAAACTAAGCCACCATGACTTAGTTTCCATGAGTGACCTGTCTTAGAGGCTATATATCTTTTCTTGTTGATATCGTTTGTGCCTTGGCAAGTTGGCATCTTTCGTCCCTAAAGATGGTCATTTGACAATGCTTATCACAACGGTCCAAAAAGAACAAAACTGATACTCACTAAAAAAACTAATACTCACTTCCACCAGGCAACCACCAACTTTTCTCTACCAATTAATATACTACGTATTTTTACTTTTATTTCCCCCTCTCTCTACAAAAAGAGTGCCACCCTACTAAACCCCTTAATATACTTGCCCAAATCTAACAAGAAGTTGTAGTGAGCAAAGGGAGTACTTTGTTTTTTGACCATTCAAATTGCTTTCTTGACAAGCATTGTGCTTGCAGCCAAATATGGTATGGACTTTTAAAAGCAAAACCTGGGTGAAAATTGCTTGTATGTGTAATTCCTATTGAGTCCTTAAGCTATCCATCATAACTGCTGATCATATACCAGCCTGCATGTGTGTACTTTCGGAGTGTTTGTCTTAAGGGATAGAGATAAGAAGGATAAGAGTGTGGGATCAAGATAGGGAATTGGTGATTAAAATAAGGATAAAATATGTATTATACCATCTTTGGTATGTATAGGGAATAGGAATGAGATGAGTAGAAAAGTTATCAATATACACTTACGAATTCTTTCCTTCTCCTTGATTACTTTTAATTAAGGGCATATAGGTCTTGTTATTCCCAATACTTATCCCTCTTCCTTATACCACCCCTCCCTAGGCATAGGATTTGTGGGATAAGGGATTTTATCCCTATTCCCATCCCTTTAAACAAACATCATAACTATGATATTCCATCCCCTTATTCCTATCCCTTTCCTTTTATCCCCCTAAATAAACACCGCCTTTATGTCCTTCAGTGAGGACTGAGGAGACAAAGAATCATATGTTTATGTCATCTATCTTTGAAAATAGCTATTGGTATTGTTGGATTTCATTGGAGTTTTTTTTTTCATTGGGGTTAGACCTGGCAAATGGGTCATTCGGGTCGGGTCATTTCGAGTCGGGTCAAGTTCGGGTCAAAAGGTTATCGGGTCAAGTTCGGTTCGGGTCGGGTCATTTTGGGTTTCGGGTTGATTTCGGGTCGACTGATAATCAGGTTGGGTCGGGTATCGGGTCAACACTTCGGGTCGAGTCAATTTTCGGGTTGGGTCAGTTTGGGTCGGGTCAATTTTCGGGTCAGGTCAGTTCGGGTAGGGTCAATTTTCGGGTTAACTTCGGGTCGGGTCAACTTCGAGTCGAGTCATATTCGGGTGATTCATTGGGTTAAATTCAACTATGTATATTTATTTATTTATTTATTGACGAAAAACTCACTATATTTATTAAGGCTATTTTTTTCATGGAATATAGTAATTGTTTGACTTATATTAACCTTTATTTATTTTTTTTTTTTTTTTTGTGTGTTTAGATTGAGAATCACTTTCAGGATCTCCTGAAACTAAGAGGGATGCTCTAACTAATTGAGTTATACCTCACTCTCTTATTGATCTTAGTTTTAATACGTACTCTTATTATCATTGTCATTGTTGTAATAATTTCTTTGAATTATTCTTATACTCTCTCAGTCCCAAATTACTCTTAACGATTTGACATTTTGCACTATTTACGCATCTCACTTTGACCGTCTTTTTAGCTATTATATCAAAGTCAATGTAGTCATGTAAGATGTTGGTGGGTCTATTTTAATGTATAATTTCCTAATATAAACTTTTTATAACTTATACAATTGTTTACTAAAAGAAGTTAAATATCGGGTCATTTTCGGGTCGGGTCAACTTCGGGTCTCGGGTCAACTTCGGGTCGGGTCTCGGGTCATCTCGGGTCGTTTCGGGTTGGGTAATTTTGGTTTTGGGTCAAGGTAGGGTCAGTTCCACTTCGGGTCGGGTTAATTCGGATTTTGGGTCGATTTCGGGTCATGGGGTCGGGTCATTCGGGTCTGGGTCAAGATTGTCAGGTCTAATTGGGGTTCATCTCCTGATACAATATTTGGAGTTCATAAGGTAAAAGGAGTAGTTTTTGTGGCAGGATATTTTTTCTTATATCTGGCTGATTTGGTTAAAAAGGAAAAATATTTTTTGTGGCTAGTAGTAGTCTATTGTGGTTCTTTACCAAAGCTGCGATATATTTAGCTTCAATTTGGCTCATGTTACTTGGGGGCCTGTAGCATTCTCTAACACATCCCATTCTTATACTTATCCATTTTTATTTAGTAGCAACACACCACTTTGGCATGCACTTTAAGGAGGACATTATACTGGACAAATTAAACAGAATGATTTTACCTTTGATAAGAAGAAAGTGTTGAGTTGTTAGGGTTTAAAATTTTATATGCTAATCTGTCCTTTTAATATTTCTAATCACGTCCTCAAATAACGTGACAATAAGGTGTGTTGCAAGTATAGAATACAAGGTATATTGCAAGAGTTGCTTTTATTTTTTTTCCTTTTCTTTTGCCTTGATTTTCGGTTGACTTCTGCCCCTCTTCTTTTTTTTTTTTTTTTTACTGTCCATTGAAATTTGTTTTATTATCGAAAAAATATGAGGCATATTCCAAAATCTGGACAAAGCTTAAATTATATGCCATTGTTAATTTGATTGATAATAATTTATTAATATTGTTCAAATTTACATTATGGTCAGTGGGGGTACAATTGCTGGTCTGTCATTGGGAGCATGGCTTAGTAATTTGAAGGCAAAAGTAGGTCTCTCTTGTCAAGCTGTCTGTCATTCATGATTTTGAGGTTACCAAATTTGGACTTGATAATCTTAGGTAGCCTGGCTCTGCAGGTTCATGCATTTTCAGTTTGTGACGATCCAGATTACTTCTATAACTTTGCTCAAGGTCTCCTCGATGGACTTAAGGCCAGAATTAGCTCTCGTGACATTGTAAACATTTATAATGTATGTCCACTTTTTTCGCCTTAATAATTTTATTTCTCTTTTTATTTATTTGTTTCAATGTTTGATTGATGTACAATTTTTGTGAACACAGAATGCAAAGTTGCTTTTTCTTACTAGTTTTATGGACTAGTTTCTCTACTTAACTGATAGGAGGTTTACGTGGCTTTTTTTTTAAAAAAAAAAAAGGATGGACAATCCTTGTAAAAGTACCAGAACTACATTTCCAATTCACTTTCCATTTAGTTAAACATTTATTGGATATAAAATGCACACTTGAGATCCAGGTCATATATATGCATTTCTGATTACAACTCTTGATAGAGATCCTGATAACTTTGTACGATAACTGAAGTATTGCATTTCTATTACTTTACATATATGTGGATATTTGTGTGTGCGTTTCCAGACAGGAAAGCTGGCTTCTGTTGCTTATGATTGAAAGTAATAATAAATAAATTTCCTATGTGCCATGTTTGGATATACCTTTTAGAGGGAAAGTAAATTAAGGAGCATGTGAGGAATGATGCAATTTCTCAATTTGGTGTAGTTCCTTTCTTTTGGGGGGATGTAGTTGAGGATTATGATTGTTAAGTTCTTTGTGGGGGCTGAATGTGGTTTTTAAATTGAATCGTCGGTCATTAATGATGTATCAAGAAACCTCAAACCATAATGCATGTGATCCTCTTGATACTTCATGTATTTGATTGCTGTGTTGTAAAACTCCCCAGGCAAAAGGTTTGGGTTATGCAATCAACACACAAGTGGAGCTTAATTTTGTTAAAGAAATTGCATCTGCTACTGGTGTTGTTCTTGATCCAGTTTACAGGTATGTACAGACATTAGTAAAATATTATCTTTGCATATTGCCATTTCCTTTGTTTCTTTTTGTGACTCTTGTTACGCTTTTCACTGTTTCCAGTGCAAACCAATATGCAAATTTTCAAATACGTATATGGAAAATCTTAAAAGGTTGATGTTATGAAATTGCATATCGAGACCAATCAAATATGATTCCATGAGTTTTTCTTCGTGTAATTATTGGGAGAGTATTAAATTTCATTTGCATTGGGATCTATAGAGATGGTAAACAGGATTAACAAAGTCAAATGTAGGGAGTAATTTTTTTTGTAAAATATTCAAATGCAAAAGGTAATGCTATGTGCTTTGATCATACTCTTAGTTTTTCATGCTCCTAATATCATTATGAATTAGGGTTGTTTGATTATGTGAAAGCCACTTTGTAAAGTGTTTCTATGTTTCCTCTGAAAAGCTATTGTACATCAGGTGCTTAAAATTCACAATTTAGCAACCAGTATGAATAAAACGTTGAGTAACAGAAGGAACGATTGAAATGGTCACACTCTTGTTTCTCTATTTGCTATGCATCTGTAAGAGTTATATCCTTCCTATCTTCTTATGTTAGTGTTTTACTTTGAGTAGCCTAATTGACAATAAATCCCCATCTGAAAATCATGTATATATATCAAGTACATTAAGTATAGTTATGAAAGTATAAATTGAGCTGCTTGACTATCACTTGCAGTGGAAAAGCTGCTTTCGGATTGATGAAAGATATTACTGAAAATCCGGAGAAGTGGCAAGGAAGAAGGATCCTGTTTATACATACAGGTGGCTTGCTTGGCCTGTTTGATAAGACTCGCGAGTTGGCAGCAATGGTTGGAAATTGGAAGCAAATGGAGCTCCATGAGTCTGTACCCCGACAAGAGGGTGTTGGGAAAATGTTTTGAAGCAAATAACATCAATTATATGTATATCCTTTTTTATATTGGCGAATTTACTTTTTGTATGATTGGTGTACTATGTATAGAACATTTGGATTAAGCTTACCATCGTATCAATAAGGATGTTTGGTCCACCCAAACCATGTCAATTTCCTGCTTTGCTATGCATTTTGCAGCTTTTGGTTGTCGTGGATGCATGAGGTTTTAAGGTAATATTTCGAGATTCCTCGAAGGAACCAGAAGAAATAAACATGAAAACATTTAAGCTATTTGACATCTTGACTTTACTGTCTCGCTCAATAGGCTTGACTTGATCTTCTTCCACCAGTAATGACTCAACCCCCACTAAGGTCGGAAGGTCTTAAAAGGGTCGAAGTGGTTTGGCTAGGGATAGGGGTATGGAAACAAATTTAGAAATTGAAAGTGGACTCAAAAGTGAGGCAAGGTTGATCATTCCTGAACTCAAACTCAATTAAATACCAACTTCAAATTCAAATCAAATATTCCAACAATAAACTCAATTAAATACCAAATTCAAATCAAATATTCTAACAATTGATTAGTAAATGATTTCTCCCCCAAGCTTATTCCTTTTCAACCACAACAAATGTATTTGCATTTCCCTCATTTTCCCACTTTTTTTTATGCCAAAATATACATTTTCTATTATTATTTTTTTAAAGCGCGTAATATCATTTTATCATTACAATGTTTGACATTTTTTTTTTCTCTAACTTGGTCTTATTTCATTTGCAAAAAGCTCATGAAAAGTGTAAATTGTGACAAGGAGAGAGGTTTAGCTTTAGTCTACTTGTACAAAATTTCCAAATCACAAAAAGACAATTGCAAAATCATATAAATGAGACGGAGTTGCAACAATACCTTTTTACCGTCATTCCCCCCTCTCCGAAGACTTCTCCTGTCGAAGAAGGTAGTGCAGAGAAGACTCCTCCTCGAAACGAAGTTCATGGGGAGAAGGAGGTTAGCCAACAAATTCCTGAGCCAACAGCTGAAGCTCACCTTGGCACACAGCTAATTCTTTCTTGGCTGAAATTCAACTTGAAGCTAAGAAACTGAGGCCCTTGGCCGGGGGGCGGGGGGAAGAAAGAGGATGAAGGCGTGGAGATTCTGCCTGAGCCTCCACGCATTTTTACAGATAAAGAGTTTTAGGAAGCTGCTGAGGAACAAAGGGCTACTGAACATCGCAGGACTTATATGCCTTCTTCCTCAGTAGATGGCTCCTTTGGCACTTTCCATTTCGAAGATGGGATTTGGCTCTATCCCAACGGTGCCCTTGCCTCAGCGCCCTTGGCTTATCCTGGACGAATGGCGCCCTCATGCCTTCGCCTACTTCGGCGATCCTGCCAACGCCTCTGCGTTAGAAAAGTTGAAGTTTTGGCTTACGGAGCTGCTGCTAGGGCTCCTGAAGTTTCAGATAGAGTGCCTGACCCTTTCCTTGATAGCCAAAGGCTTCTGATGCAGGTAACTCTTTCGGCCTTTCATTCTCAGACTTGATTTCATCATTTTTATTTCAATTTTTTTTTACACTTTCCTTGCTTTTCGCAGCTATCATAGAACCATTTAGTGGCCACTGCCATGCATGATGAGCTGGAGGCTAAGCTGGAAGCAACTGATAAAAGGAAGGCTGAAGCTCAAGAAAAGAAGGTGAATGCTGCCTTCAGTACTTTTTGCAACGAGATAGAGAAGGATGTTCTCCCAGCCTTTGATGAAGGAGAGGCTCTGCTCAATGAGTACGGGGCAGTTGACATTCTAACTTTCCGGGCTCGAATTGAGCGAAAAATTGAGGCTGAGGTGAACTCTCAGATGGCTAGTCGAGAAGAGAGACTTGAGCAGAAAATTAAAAGTTTGGAGGCAGACGTGACGCGTTTGGACCAGGCTGTTGCAAATAGAGATAATCAACTCTTGAATGCCCATATCGCTACTGAGGCCAAAGACAGGAGGCTGCAAGAGATGGAGGACCAGCTGAAGGAGAAAGAGACAGAACTGTCTCAAGCTAAGACTACAGTAAGCCTTGTCCAAGATCAATTCCAGAATCTAGGGGACCAAGCCGCTAAGGTTCAGCTCCAACTCGACGAGGCAAAAAAGCAGCTTGTTGATGCTCAGGAAAAGCTGCAGGTCAAAATTTATACTCAGGAGGAGTACAACCAGGGCTACAACATTGGCTATAAGGTGGCTTGGTGCCTTGCTATTCATGTCAACCCTAAGATAAATTGGGACAAGCTGAGGATTGGGCCATGGCCAAAGATGATTATTATATAAGGACTACCCACCCAGTTGAGAGAGAATTTGTGGTTCGCTAGGATGCTAAGTTGGCTAAAATGGCGGCTGAAGCTGCTGAGAAGGAGAAAGAAGCTGAGGCCTAGAAAAAAAAAGAAGATGAGAAGGCTCAAGCTTATGCTGCCTCGTCCTCAGCTGGCACTGGGGGCCCCATTGATTCCAGCTTAGCACAACTTGATCTTCCTGAAGCATAGGAACTCGGGCAACCGTACTCAGTCTTACGAATCAACGTGCGCTTAACTTTAGACTTTCCGTAATCAACTTCAGCCTTTTTTTGCTTTAGATGTTTTTTGCTTCAACTTGCCTCAATGAACAAACTTTTAACCTTGCTTTTGTTTATGGTAGTACTTGATTCGGCGACTGTAATTTTCCGCTTGTGGGAAGATGCCGACGTTATTTCTATCTTATAAAACATTCGATTTGTTTGTAGCTTGGAATCCGAGCACACTTTTCATGAATCTACTACTTTTCACTCAATTTCCTTACTTTAAACTTTGTTCATTTTGCTTTTCTGATTTTTCAAAATTTTTACAAAAATCTTCTAAGTAAAAAACTTCGGCTTAGGAAATTTCAGCTGAATATACTTTGTGCTTGTACACTTGTTGCCCCTCCCAGAAATCTAAAAAAGCTATGTTCAGATTTCTAAAATGATTGCTTGCCCTTTTTGGACTCAGACGAATCTCTTTAATGTTAACAATATTTTTAATACTTGTGCAATTTTTCCATGTTTTTGTCATCCGAGAGAATGGATATCTAAGACACAAGGCTAATTTAAGGCACACTATAGTTTATGCCAAGCACGCATGTATATATACTTAGCTTTTGAAAACTTTTATCTATTGTGGCAATATGTGCCTTTATTTCCTTTAACCTTTACTGGAGCTAATTTGATGTGGCAATGTGTGCCTTTTGATGTAATTAATTTAAACACTCATAATCCAGGCTTAGATTATTGCACTTATCTATTGAACTGTATTTCTATGCATACTATTTCTGTTTTCATCCATTGTTGTTAGCCCATAGTTTCAGCTTCCTATTTAACTGATCATTCCTTTTAAATCACAAAATTCTAATAGCTTCAAAATATTACTGAGTTTTAGAAAAATCAAAGGGTGTTCTTTTCTTTCCTTCAATCTTTAGTTTTTGAACAGAATACTTAATTTGTGCTCAACTAATCTTATACTTCTGCCAGAATACACTATAAGATTAAAATGTGAATTTAGTTAAGCATATTTTCCTACTGCCAAATTGCACCACAAATAACCAACCCCAAAGTAAATTTCAAAACAAAATAATTCAGTACAGCCTACAAGCATCCATTTTAACAACAATCTCAAATTAATCAAAAAAGCTATTTCTAGTATATTGCTAGCCTCTTTGTTGTCCTGATCCTTTTCTCTTTCAAAAACTAAAGGCCTAGAAGGATTTGTATCTGTGGCAGCCATATCTATCTCACATTAATCCTTGACAATATTATAAGCCAATATAATCAAGATCTAAAATTCAGACATGTTCATATTTTTATAAAGCAGCAACATCTCAAAAAAATTTCAAAATAACAATCAGAAACTAAAATTGAAACCACGCTATTTCCTAGCAACATCAGGATCATTACAGCCAAATTTCATGATCAAACCATTAATAAGATCATCCCCATCAGACTCTTCTTCTGTGTGTTATCCCTAAAAACCAGTGGCCAATCACTACATCACTCTCCCCTTTCTTGCCTTCAACAGTGTCATTTTTCACATCTTCCTTATTTGTACCATCATCTTCTTCCTTAACAGCAACCACAACATCTTCACCAAGTTCTGTCTTCAGCATTTTGGTCTTCTCTGACTGCACCATAGGCATAAACTCATCAACATGGCTTGCAACATTCTTTCGAACTCTTTTCCCTTCACTAAAGCTCCTGATTTCTAAAATCTCATTTGATAGCTCATCTAATTTCCTCTTTAACTTAGTAATCCTATTACCTACATCAAAATGAATGGCCATTGCATCAGATAATTTTTCTAGTAAATTAGCTTCCCTAAGCTCTAGAACTCGAAGTCTAGTTTCAATGACGCATTTCCGCAATGCTGAAAATTCATCCCTATTTCCTGCCATATTCAATTCTAAACTAAAAGAAGAATCAAAATTGTGAAAAAAAAAACAATTTCAGATTATTGTGAGGCTACAACACAGCTAGCTCAATCAAATTAAACTAAGATAATTTAAAAGATTACTCTTGACATGAAATCCTAAAAAACTACAATTCTAATAGGCTCTTAACTTTTCTACTGAATTGACTTCTTGCTCTCTAAAAGGTAAACTATCTTGCTAAAAAGAAAACAGAGAAAGATAAGGGCTAGGAAAAATTTAACATACTATTACTCAACAACAATGTAAACCATATTAGATAATGACCTTGCAAAGAATCTTTCTCAATATGGCATTTTAATAAACAACCTTACTTTAACACACAAAACACTTCAATGCTCATTGTCCATGAGACAATGACTTGCTACATAAATACTTTATACCTACATTTATCACATAGTAGAAATTAACCATATTCTTATTTTCTTTTTACTACTAAAGAACATCAAGTCTCCACCACTTATATTAAAGAATACATGATTCTTTTTTAAGATATAATAATCATTATTATATTCAACAGTAGCATCAATTATAAGTACTTAATTAACACCTCATGCACAAATCAAAATCTTCTTTAGTAGCACCATATTTAATGTTCCTTCCCCCATATCCTAATTAAAGCATAAAACAAAGATATTAAGAAAAGAACGCTTTTAATATTGACAAATTATCAAATGCTAATAAAAGTAATAATGAATATAGCCCGGTATAACTCTGTAAAATTAGGCCCTATGATTTCTATCAACAAATTATCAATGCCTAATCCTCTAGGAACTATTTTACTAGTCTCCCTAGCTTGAAATTAGATCCTATCTTCTATAATCTACAACTCATAATGTAATAAATTAAACAAAACAATCTTAAGAAACAAACATATAATACCTGAATTTTAAGCTTTAACTATGGTATAAGGGGAAGAATTCAAGTGAACAAATGGAAATTTAGCATTAAATCCATACAGAACATAATGATCAAGAAGTATTGACCATTAAGGGGATGGATTTGAGGCATAATCTTCAAGTAGGAAAGCACAAACTAAGAAACGCAAATTAACACATGAATGGAGTATATATTAACTTAATTTAATAAAAAGTAGTGATTTGCATACCATACTCCTTTTTTGTCCTGTTAATTAGGTAATACTAGGATAGTGCAATGCAGTGAGACTAAAGCATGGTAATTTAATTGAGCTATGAGACATACAATTAGGTGGAGCACATAACATCTGAGTATAAGCATAAGGTTGATGTCTACCCATAGCCATAGGGCTTTATCAAAACTAAAACATTGTTATTAGCCGTTTCCTATTATCCTAGAAACAAGTAACACAATGTCATTACATTCAAATGATTAGTCATTTTACCCAAAACAAATCTAAAAATCCATCAACAATTTACTCAATAAAAGCTACATTATATTCATTATTCAAGGACAATTTAAACCAAAACTTTTATACCTGTATGTGAAGTTTCTCAAGTACAGTTGATGAGTGTTATTTATGGCACTCATAGGGTAGTCTTTTAGGATGTTTTCACCCTATTTTCATAGCTTTCTTTTATTATTTTGGGTCTTTTCTCCTTTAGTTTCTCTATTTCCTTCTTTATTCGTGTTTAGCTTTCTTTATGTGGATTTCTTCGTGTTTTCCTTTTATTTGGATCTATTTCTCTTATATTTCTTTCCTTTGTTTGCTTTTGTAGGTACTTAAGGAGTTGTCCTTGTAGAAAGATCAAGAAGAGCTATAAATACAAAGCAAAGGAAGAAGCAAGCTCCTTGTAGGGGCTTGGAAAGGGCACACATCTTTTTCCATTAGCCGCGGGTGCGGGTCTCGAAGGCCGCCGGCGTGGGTAAAAGTGCACAAAATGAAGGATTTTGGAGATACCGTTGCTACATAGAGAGACCGCGGACCCCTGAAGTTCATTTGGGAGCAGGGCATTTGCCGCGCCCTTAGTCGCGAGCGCATGGGTCTTCGCTGCGGGTGCAGGGGTCTTCGACGCGGGCGCGGGCTACAGTACTCGTGGGCGCGGGGGTTGCCCAGATTGCCCGCGGAGTTTGTTATGGGTTCCGTACCTATTTTTCCGTGACCGCGAGACTTCTTAGAGAGGGCGCGGCCGATCAGTTTTTCTTCTTTGTCTCTATATACTCTTGTATTTCCTTTTGAAAAACAACTTTTAGATAATTTTAATTGCTTAGTTTTTAGAGAGAGAAACTAGAAATAGAAGTTCTTGGATTTGAATTTGTATTACAACATTGATTCAATCAAGTTTAGATTTCTTCTTCATATCAATGAAAGTTTGTGAGATTTATTTCCTTTGAATTTACTTTTATTGCAATTTCCTGTAATACTTGAATGTTTAATTTGAATTTTAATCTAGGTTTGGGAAATTGTTGAATAATTAAATTCCTTCATGATTTAACTTGAAATGAATGTGTTTGTGATTGAATTTGTTTTGTTTTTCAATTTCACCATGATTAGTGAGTAGATTAGTTTGGTATTGACCCAATTTTATTAGTCATATGTCTTATGAGTTTATCTGTTTTGCAGTAAGGTTGTGTAAGCTTCCTAGCATGACTGACTAATGATCATGGGGTTGTAGGCGTCGCTCGAAGTGTGCCTACGTTAAAGCATGTTGTTAAAATGCTTCGCACTCATAGGAAGTGGGAGTTGACATATACGATTAGGGACAAAGAAAGTAGGGAGCCGCCAAAAAGTTTTTAAGGAACTTGTAAACCGTTCACGGATCATTTAAGGCAACCACAAATAAGGGACAACAAAAGCAACAACGATTGACCCGTGAAGGTTACACCCCATTCATAATCCATGAGCTTACTAACTCCATATGGTTTGGAAACACGAAAGGAGGATCAGAGATGGTACGAAGTGAGTCATGGAGTCACATTTGCCCGTATTGGCCTCTACTCGATTCTTATTGTGAAATGTGATTCCTGCGATCTCAAAGGCATGCAAACAAATATTCAATTCGCTCCAATCTATTATTATACTAAATTGGTTGACTATTAATGCAACACATAATTCTAAAATATTAGCGATCACTTCAATTAATAACAAGATTAAAAAGGAACCTAAACCGGTTGTCCAAATTATCTTATTTGGCGTGATTTTGAATTACATATTCCCTTTGAACATGCAATATGGTGATAAAAAAATATAATAAAATAAACATTAATATTGGAAGAAATTTATCAATACTATCGTTAGTCAAATCAAATAGAAATTAACCTAATCATGATACTAGCAATATTAAAATAAAATAGGAGTAATTAAATTAATTAATTACTCACATTCTGTGTGTTCCTTAAAATTGCTACATCATGAATAAATTGTTAGTAACTTCAAAAAAAATATAAATCAAATTGAAACATTTAAACTAAATAAAAATTAGAGTTGATTTAGTCCAAACCCTCAGTTAATTATACCTTTCACGCCTTGGTTTAAGGACGGAACTATGGGACTCCTTGGATTGCTTTCGGGAAGTATTATGGAAGAATAGGGAGGCTAGTATTTAGCCTAAAGAGGGAGAAGAGAATGATTTGATGATCAAGCTTGTTGATCTTTGAAAAAGGGGAGATATGACCTCTATTTATAAGGAAAAATAAGGGTCGAAGAATCAAGAAAAGATAAGAATTCGAATCGGATAAAACTCTTGCGATAAACAGTAGTTTTTGCGGTTTTTATTTTTATCATATCTTTTGATCCAGAAATCGGAATAAGATGAATAAGATGTTTTTGGAAATCTCTTGAATTCTAATTTCTAAAACAATTAGATTCATATTAAATTCCTTTGTATAATAAAAGATATCAACGAAATAGTAGGACGGTGTCAGTTTTGGGTAGAGTTTGATATTTCATTCATATCTTTTCCGTTATAGCTCGGAATTGATATTATAATATATAATTGGAAAGAAAATTTCAAGGGCTATCCAACCATATAAAATTTGGATAAAAAAATGAGGCAAAAAATAATATCTATCTATCTTTGCACGTCTTTCAATTCGAATAGAATTAGGACTTTCAAAAAGAAAAGTTTTATTCAATTTCAAACTCTTTAATATTATCTTTTCAAAAATGATAATTAAGATCTTTTAGAAACTTAAAGAAGCTTCCAATTAATCCTAATTGGTTTAGGAATGGTATTAAATAATTTGGACCCTCCACATGATCATTGGGTCGTAGGTAAGGTGGGCTTAGGTTCGATTTGGGCTCGGTTTAGTATTTTGGCCATAACTTATTCGTTGTAACTCGGATTTGGGCTTATAATATAACATTAGAAAGCTCTTTTCAAACCCCATCCAACTATTCAATCATTGGACCCAGATTATTGACCAAAATAAACTGGACTAAACGTTTTTTATAAAAAGGACACGAAATTAATTATTTTAAAGGACATGAAATGAATTATTTTGGGTTTAAAGGCACGAAAAGAGGAAAATAAGTTTTGGTTTAGGGAAATGGGATAGGAGTTTGGTTTGTTTATGAAATGTAAATATAGATTAAAGTACTCCAATATTAAATACTCAACCCGACAATAATGGCAGTGAAAGGTTGTTCATCATAGGGTTTGTTGGGAGACATTTTTAGGTGTCTACAGGGGTTTGTTGGTGATACAATCATATGAGATAACTCAAGGTATGAGGTATAACCTTCATATATTAAATTAACTTTTGTTGTTAATGTGGTGAGTGGACTGGACAAGTCATGTGGGAGTCAAGTGTAAGTACCCAAACTATGTCAAATGTTTTTCATTCTTGGCATGCAAATGTATTAATGTAATGCATGTGTGTGTTTATTATGATAAGCATTGATGTTAGTCAGATGCTAGCTTAATCATATATTGTTGATCACACATGTATTGGTTAATTGAGATTGAAGGTTTTAATATTTATCAATGCCAAGATGAAAGTACGAGATGATGAGATGAGTGTGATATTTGGATGGTAAGATCATAGAATCGGCCAAGGTATGTATTGAACTCATTCTCACTGTGTACAGGATTAAATATGGTGAATATGTTGATCATGTTAAAACCAGTGTTGTTGGGTGTCACTATTATAAAAGGCGTGCTTTTTGGACGCTTTTGGTTCGACGCTTTTGATGTGGCGTCAGCGTATGATTTTTGGTACCGTCTTTTCTCGGTGCTTTTTCTGGTCGAAGATTGTCTTGACACTTAAAAGCGTCGGTAAAATCACATGCTATGCACGTGAGTGTGGCTGCCCGCAATTTTGAAATTTTTAATGAAAAAATTACCGGTTGTATTTTCACCCTCACTCGAATTAGGTTCCCAAATTCCCCCAACTTCCCAATTAAATCGCCCATCCATACTATTCTGCTCTCCTCTAAACCTGGACTCCATCATCAGCGACAAAAAAATCATTCCTTTTTGGTTAATTTATGGGTTTTGCTTGCTAAACTTCAAGGAATTTGGGGGGTTTTTGGCTCGTCACTTTCATAAATTTGAGGTATTAACTTACAATTTTCTATACAATATTGTTTCTAGGTATATATCTATCGTTTTTGGTACCTAATATATCACAATTCTCTAAATTTTCGTTAAAATTGGGAATTATTTCTTTGCATGTCTTCGATTTTAAGTTGGTGTTGAACAAGAATCGATCTCTTATTACGAGGTAAATTTTTTCCCTTAATTAGATAATTTAATTTCTTTTTATGTTGTTTATTTTCGTGAATTCTGTTTTCAAATCCAAGTTTTCACGTGTTTTTTTTTTTATTTTTAAAGTTGTTTTTTGGTTTTTGTTATGATTTTTATGGCGTTTTTTAGGGTTTTAGTTTAAAATTTTATGGGTTTTTTTTATATGAATTTCATAGGCTTTGAATTTTATGGGTTTTTAATATGAATTTTATGGGTTTTTGATATGAATTTTTTTATTTTTCTATGGTGATTTGGTGGCTGATGATTGCATTCTTTCTTCACATGCTCTGCTCTTAGAAGCAATACCCATTCCCTTATAAATCATTAGACAACAACCCTAATACTCACGGCCAGCTGCTGATGAATCAAGTCTTATTGTTAAGAATGTATAAGTTTGTTTGTTCGTTAAGATGATATGTATAGAACCAAGGCAGTAGTGTGAACAGGACATGATCCTAGGTTTGGGAATTTTGGGTATAGTTGAAATTGATAATTGCTGATTAAATGTTATCCCTTGCATGAAGCTGGAGGTTTTTTGTATTTCTTACATTTTTGTTTAGTTTAGATCATTGTATTATTCTAATTTTGATAATGCCACTGTGCTCTTCCTATATTGCTCATCTGATATTCCTTTGATGACATTATGACTTTTGAGGTCAAAACAATGGCTTGTGGGCATCTATTATATCTGTCAAATCATTATTTAAGCCAATGAATAGTATCACTCTGAATAGCCAGAACCCTATTTCAAAATATGACCACCTATCTTCCTGTATATTACACAAACAAGGTGGGGTTATGCTAGTAGTAAGATTTCTAGTTAATTTGCCTTTGTGTGATTACACTGTCCTTGAGATAAGCTTAGCTGATAGGTGTTTCCTATCACTGTTTTAATTAGTAGCTCTTGGATGTGAAATAATGTGTATGTACAGGTAGATCATCTTAAAGCAAAAAGGAGGTTTTTTTATTCTGAAGGGTAAAAGAAATTCAACCTTGTATAAATTTTCCAGTTGGTATAAACTACTAATTTTGTAGATGAAATAGTAATTATACAAATTACAAGGACCTCTTAATATATGATTACTCATTTCCTTGAGTAATATTTATTGTTGTAAAAAATTTATATAACGAATAGGAGGATTAGAACTTTTCATTTTTTAAGCCCTGCACAGTTAAGTAATCTTGGTTGTAATTGCCCTAGTACTCTAGTAGCGCCATTCTCATTCTCCCTCCATTGTAGGTGGGTTATTTTTGGGAGCTCCAAATTCAATGATATTTGGCTACTATGTCGGGAAAGGATGAACTTTTTCTACCTTGCTGAAATCCAGTGATGGCATTTTAGGATACAGAGAGTGATTCATTACTTGAGTGGAATTTGTTACATGTTAGAAGTTCCTTAGGGAGTAAATAAGGGACCTCTATCAATAGGGTTAATGGAAACAATGATCTGGATTGCTTCACAAGGTTTGATTGTTTTTTCTGTAAACTTTTCCATGTGCTCATATCTCTGTCTCTCAGAGTCTTTTTCTTCACGAGTCCATGAAAATGTGGAAGATAAAGTCTACCTCCACCAAGACATTCTCGTAGTTTGGAAGCTGAAAAGGTCTTCTTGAAAATTTTTGTGTACTTTATAGGAATCTAATATCTATATTTATATTAGGTATAAGAAAATTATGTTACTTTATCTATTAGTAGGGTAAAAATAATTCCAAATAGTAGACACATTAATAAGGATACCAATCTGAAACACCAATGTTGGCTACAATCTGATCACTACTGCCTGCCCTGGCCTAGTTCTCTTTCATTGCCCATATTTTAGCTCTTATTTTGGATCAAGAAACTGAAATATTGACAATTACTCAGTGACGACAATTGCCTCTTAGAGGATAAAGTAAGCAATGAATGAAATTTACATAATTGACAGAAATTTATGTGCAGAAAGCTTACTTCTAAGGTGGAACAACACTGTTAAATAACTCGTCACAAATGATTTGCATAATGTTTAAACAACTCTATGATGTTTGGAGGGAAGCATGAGGCTAAAAATTTTCCTTTATAAACAGGTTTTCCCCTGAATAGATGTTTGATGTTATTGCAGCTGTGGATTTCTGGTTGAGAGTTACATTTCACATGAGGTTTTAGACAAGCCAAAGTTTATTAAGGTACGATTTCATTGCATCAAACATCGATATATTCATAATCTTGTCTAATTTTGTTATGATTGAGTAATTAACAGTGAAAATGCAATTGTACACCATCTTGAAAGTCTCAATTTTAACCTAAAAGCAAATACATGGGAAACTAAATGCCCATGTAATAAGTGCAAGTTAAATAAAATGAATTCCGTAGAAGAAGTTGGAGGGCATATTTTATTTTATGGTCTTTATAAAAACTATAGAAATTAGATATTTCATTGTAAAGATGCAGGGAGTAAGACCTATGATCTAAGTGATGATCAATTAAATGCAGTAGGTCGAGATGATATGGACGGGTTACTAAGAGCAGCTTTTAGAGTTAATACACAACAAACCGACAAAACTCAAGATTCATCATTTAATGAACAAAGTATTGAAGATGACAATTCATATGACATGGATGAGGGGTTTACCATTTATCGCGAGGTAGATGATGAGTGTCAATCAACTTTCTCAAATGAAGAACGGGCAAAGTATAAAAATCTCATGGAAGCTTCTGAAAAAGGCTTGTGTTTCGGGGGTTTTTGTCCCTTGGGAGAGTTACAACACTAAGACTGGATTCAACAAAGGGCGCTTGTACCTGCAAAGCAAACGGACCGCCAACTGGTTGGTGGTCTGCCTCCGAAGATTAAGTTAGTAAGTATTCGGAGTAAAACGTGCGGAAATGAAGTTATCTGCTCGGATTCCAAGCTCAGGTAAGGTGCTGTCTGTTTCTTGAAAACGACAACTCTATATTAAATGTGAAAGTGACGTGTTGTCTCGTAGTTAGTATCCTCTCTCATAAATGTAGGATTTGTCCCTATTTATAGGGTCTTTTTGAAAAGTGTGCCCTCCCTAGGATCTGGTGACCTAGGGATTAGGTCACGCCGTAAAACGGCGCCACAAGGTTTGGGTCCTAGAAGGCCGCCATTCCATAAGCAATGCCTGAGTGACGCGTGTCACTGAGCCCAAAAGGCCTTTGGGCATCTCGTAGGGTGACACGTGTCGCCCTCTTAATGGTCCGTGCTGGATCATCAATCATCTCAGAACGGGGGAATGTCTGCCTACCACGTGTCACCATCTCAAAGGTCCAGATGGCACCCCTTCTAATGACACATGGCGGCTTCCGATTGGGCCACTTGGTCGGGTATAAAAATACCCAAATCATTTGCCCCTCACAGGGGTCACGTGCATTGCACATGACACTTGTGACAAGTGTCATCATCCAACTGGCAGGATTTTCAAATTACATTTTGGGGGGAAAAATTTGGGCTTACCCTTTCTATAAATAGGACGGTTTGACTCCCCTTTTGTTTTCACACCTTTGCGAATATTGGAGAATCTCTGCAATTTTGACTTTCAAAGACTCTCAAAGACCTAAACTTGTCAAGAATCCGACGCTCGGCTTTCTGTCTGTCTGTTTCAGCAAACCAGGCGTCTCGTAATACCTTCTTCTAAGGTAACCGCCTGCTCTCTTCTTTTACTTAATCTTTCTTGCATTTTTTCTTTATCAAATGGTTTCCCAAACGCACACGGCACGGCCTAGGTTGGCGATCAGCCAGTCACCGGGGACGGCTGAATCTAGAACTAGGAATGCCGAATGCTCGTTCGGGAACTTTCCTTTAAGTACATCTCCAAATCCGACAGTGTCTAAGCATCTGCAAGACACGATGGACAGAACAAAGCAGACGACGAGGAGATATAGGGCGGATGGTTCCTTTTACCATTCGCACAGTGAGACTGTCAACTCTGATGGCTCCATTAGGGTGCCTGCTAGTGAAATTTTGAGCACCCCCCAAACCCTTCTTCTGACCTTCCCCAAACTCCAACCTATTACTCTTCCCCTTCTTCAAGCGGCACCCCCAGTGATACTATACTGCGGGAAGACGACAGTGAATACCAGGCCAAGCCTTCGGAACAGGCGTCGGAGGAGAGTCTAGGGGAGGACCCTGTTGGCCCCAGCCGACAGTCCCCTAGCTCTAGGGAGAGCTCTGATGACGATTCAGCCTCGTCATCTTCTGAAAATGCCTCTGTTACTTCAGAGGAGGCCTGAGCAAAGATAAGCACTGCAAGGGAATCCTTGTCAGTGGAAAAGGGGGAAGGCTGGGCGGAGCCGAGTGCTTCTAGGCGCTTGGAACGCGCCCCCTACTATCACCATGTCCCGCAAAGCAAGCGGACTTCTATGACATCCAATCTTGCCAATTTCAAGTGCAAGACCGTAATGGGTCATGGTTTTTCCTTGTCCGTTCCCAACAAGGAGGATACGATAACCTGGCCAACCTTGGCCAGTTATAAGGACCAAGCATTCGGCTGCTACGAGGCGGTCCTCCAGGCTGGTCTACGCTTCCCTCTCCATCCGGCTATGGAGAGAATGCTGGACGGATACCAACTGGGTATCTGGCAACTTTTCCAGAATTCATGGATTAATATCACCAGGTACGTTGCCGCATGTGAAATGCTGGAGGTGGATCCCAGCTTTGAGGCATTTCCCACATGCATTATCTCAGCCGAGCACTTGCTAAGGGCGGCAAAGGCTGGTACACCTTGTCCACCTGCAAGGGGTACATGATGGCAGTCGGCAAGGAGAACAAGTGGAAGGATTGGAGAACAAAGTTCTACATATTCCATTCCTCTGATAGCCGACTGAACCAGAAATACAATAGGTGGAACAAGGATTCGTACCTCCTAGCTGGCAAGAGTGCCTTGCCCCCTCTCCCTAAGCGGGCCTAGGAGGAAATTTTTGACCGGGGTTTGTTCAAAGTGTCCATTCGCACAAATGAGCAGGGGCCAGAGCTACATACCCCTTTACAAGTGGCTAGAAGATGGGGTGTTCTTGGTCGCTTGTGGGATAAGCTCTGAGATGCCGAGAGGTAGTTGGCCGTCTGATTTTATGCAACCTTTAAATTGCTTTTCAATGTTTGTTTATAAAGTCTAACTCCTGCTTCTAGTGCAGACAAAGCTATGGAAAAGGTCTCGGCAACAAGGAAGCCGGTTGCTGTTTCTGCAGCAAAATATCGCTCGAACATCCTTAATCGAGCGAGTGACGAGCTGAAAACAGTCGGGACCCCAAGGTAGCTGTTTATAACACGATATATTTTTCAACAAAGGTTAATTTTTGCCCGCTTGTTTTTCTGACGCCTTTCTTTTTGCTCATGCAGAGTGGTTCCATCAGGCCCTCTCCCTCCAAGCAATCCCAACCCAAAATCCAGAAAACTAGGGCTGGTGATGTGAGTGCATCCGGCAAGAACCGAAAGCACATTGCTCACAAGCCCAAGAAAGGGGACGGCTCTACTCTCGAGGCTTATAGGGAGGTCAGCAAACCGGATGCTACTCAGGCATCGAAGGGTGGCTTTAAGCAACCTAGTACTGCTTTCGGCTCAGTAGGAGAGAAGAGGCGTCACGGGAAGGAGGAGGAGGTTCACCCAGACGGTATAAACCGCGTCTTTATTGAATTTCTACATCAAGATAGTTTCTTAGAACTTCTTTGACTAACTTTAATTTTGCAGCTCCTGTGCAAAGGTCGACTGTCGTCCAGATGGCCAAGGAGATGCTGAGGGCGCTTGACCTAGAGGACAAGGCGTCCGTAAGAGGAGTCGACACCCTTAACTTGGATGCCATCTTGGGGAACCTCTGTGAGGTAAAAAGTTAACTTAATTTTCTTATTAGTTAAGCACATGTCCGACTGGTCTTGACCATTCAGCTCTTTTCTCATTTTCAGACTATGCTGCGTATCCAGGGGCTAAGAAGGCCAATCTAGGAGAAGTCTAAAGTGGTAACAGCCGGTAAAGCTTGAGCCGAGTCCGCCTTAGACTGAGCTCAATTTGAAATTGCTAAAAATAAGCTTCTGACCCTTGATATGATGTATTCCTAGGCGGATGCCAACCTGCAGGTAAAGAAGGACCTAGATTCGGCTCACTCCAAAATCATTGACCTTAAGGCCGAAATTAAAGGTCTTAAGGAAAAGCTTGAGCCTCTTCAAGAGGCCAAGAAAGAGGCCGAGAGATCCAAGGAGCGGGTTGGCCGCCTGGAGGTACGCCTGGCGAACCAGGAGAAGCAGCTGAAGTCCAAGTTCAAGTCCCGAGCTGAGGAGGAGAATGAGGCCCTTGTCAAACAAATGATGGAGGATTATGAGGCCATCATGTAGATGGCATAGGGGCGGTATAGCCGGGTGCTGACTATAGCATCTGGAAATCCAAGTTTGATCAAGAAAACGAGGATTTCAATGCTGAACTTCTTCGCCAATCTCAAGAGAAGGCGAACAAGGCTGATGTTGAGGGCGAAGAGGCCGGCTCCTCATCAGGCTCTTCTGGGGACGAGGAGGGGGACTAAGAGAATGATGAAAATGCGAAGCAGCCGGAAGGTGATGATGCGGCCGCCAATGTTGATAACTCCCCTGCCCCTTAAGCTTTTTATAAGCTCTTTCTGCGGCCGAACGACCATTTATCTCATCTTCCGGCCTGCGTGCCGAGTAAATGTGTATCTTTACCGACCGAGGAGTCGAGTAAATTAACAATTTCTCTGGCTTTGCCAACAAACAATCTTACCCAGTCGTCTGGTGACAATTGGGCTTTTTAATTTGAAATTATTCAGCTGTTTGGCTGAAGTTATTCATATTGTTGTTCTTTAAATTTTTTCATTGCATGTTTTTTTTACTAAGTAATATAACCTGTATACCATGCGAATGTTCTTGCCCCTGGACGGATGTCGAGTGGTTTTGGTTGAGTGGATTGATTGATTTAGAAATTATTGATAATTAGAAGAGTATGCATGGTTTCTAAGTCAATCAATCACTATGGTGATTGCCCCAAATCATGCGACAGACGGCCATCCGGAGCTAATGAATAATTGTTTTCATTCGGCCGTTGGTACAAACGAAATACAAAATTCTTGACTTAGCAAATTTGCTAAAAAGAAAACCTTCGCCTGTTTTTCCCCAAGAGTTAAAAGCAGGCGTATCCGGCCATAGGCCACGTCGAGATAAGATGCTAAGTTTTAACTTAATCTTAATTTTACTTAGGAAGAATAATCCGCCTGTCTTGCCCCAAGAGCAAAGAACAGGCACATCCGACCCACATGTCTCTTTTTTAATCTGCGAAGTGTTTTAGCTCTTTTTTTCGTAAGTAATAGTCCGCCTGTCCTGCGTTTGAGCAGAAACAGGCGTATCTGGCCAAAGGCCTCATAAGTTAACTTAACTTGTAGATTAGCAAAATTTTCCGCCTGTCTTGCCCCAGAGCAAAAACAGGCACATCCGGCTTAATTCCTTAATAGCCTCTACTTATGAAACAATGACCCTTTTCCGAGTGTGCTGGAACAGTTAGAAAATTCTGGCCTTTTTAGATTTCACTTTCGATTAAATCAAACGACTGCTGCTTTAGCATTCGGTAGGGCCGCTTGATGTATTCGTAGAGCAATGTGCCACCCAAATGGGAGATGCTTCTCCTCGACGAATTCGCCCGAATGGACGTCGCCGGTTATCTGACTCATGTTGGAGCAGACTGTCATACTCATGTTGGAGCAGACTGTGACCGTTCGGCCTCTATTCGTTAATTAACATCCAACCATTGACCTTAAAATGATTTTATCTGGCCTTAGGCCTTTTAAAGAATTAAGCAGATATTCGTTAAGTGTTGGCATAAACTTAAAGATTTTCGTAAGAACGACTGCTTTAAAGTACTCAGCTCCTTCAGAGAGATTGGGGCGTATGCTGTTGGGACAGACGCTTTCCAAATACATTGGTCGTCTGTATTTTGTACAGGCGACGCTAATAAAAAAGACAAGTTGGGAAATGAAGGCATATTCTCATTAAAAAAATTTGAAATGACAAAATTTGAGGTATTTACATTCGTACTCAGAAATAGTACTTTTTCAAGTTATCTACATTCCAAGTTCTAGGCAGCTGCCTATCGTCTAGTTCTTCCAGGCGATAGGTGTCGTCTCTTACTTCCTCATATATTCGATAGGGGCCTTCCCAATTTGGGGTTAGCTTTCCCTGCTCATTCGCCCTACCGACTGCCTCCATTTTCCGTAGCACAAAGTCCCCCACTTTGAGAGGACGCTTGTGTACTCTTTTGTTGTAAGCTCGTGTCATTCTCAGACGGTAAATCTCATGGCGCAAGGCAGCATTGCCCCTGCGCTCTGGAAGTGAGTCCAATGCTAGCCGCATGGCCTCCCAGTTTACTTCTTCGTCATATAACATGACTCGAACAGTAGATTCTTAGTGTTCAATAGGCAGGACAACTTCTGCACCATACACCATGAGGAATGGGGTTTCTCTAGTCGCCCCTTTAGCAGTCGTTCTGATGGACCAGAGGACGTGTGGTAATTCATCCGCCCAAAGGCCACCAGCCCGTTCAATTTTCTTTTTAATCTCGTTTGAGATTAGCTTGTTGAAGGCTTCGACCTGGCCGTTTGCTTGAGGCCGGCCGACTGATGCAAAGAAGCTTAAGACCCCTTGGTCTCCTAACCAATTCTTGAGTTGAGGCGTCTCAAATTGAGGACCATTGTTAAAAACCATAGACATGGGCACCCCGAAACAAGTGATAATATTCCTCCAGATGAAGGAAATAACATCTTTTGTCTTGATGTTTTTGACCGCCTCCGCCTTTACCCACTTGGTAAAGTAATCCATAGCTACCAATATGTAGCGCTTGCCGCTTGGTGCTGCTGTGTAAGGCCCTAGTATGTCCAAACCTCATTTGGCAAAGGGTATTGGGCTGTGGATGACCGTCAGGTCTGTGGCCGGACGATGGATGAGCTTGCCAAACTTTTGGCACTTGTCACATTTTTTGACCATTTCCATGGCATCCGACTCCAGAGTAGGCCAGAAATAGAGCTGCTTGGCCTTGGCAGCTAAAGACCTGCCGCCTATATGGGAGGTGAGGAAACCCGCACGCAAATCTTCGAGGACCTCTTTACCCTTCTCTGGGGTAACACACTTCAACAGGGTTTTCAAGAAACCAGCTTTAAAGAGTTCTCCTTGTCTCAGCTCGAAGTTTGCCGCTTTCTTCTTCAGAACAGCCGCCTCCTGGGGTGAATTAAGGAGCGTGCCGTCTGCAAGATAAGCCCGGATGTTGTCCATCTAGTTAGATCTTCGGTCGAGAATTCCAATGGGGCTTCATTAGATATACTTCTCTTTTCCATGACCTCCCAGAAAACCAACCGAGGCATTTCACACGAGGCAAATGATGCTAGTTTTGACAGAGCATCCGCTTGATTGTTTGAAGATCTGGGCACCTGAGTTAGATGGAACTCCTCAAGTGTCCCAACTTCACTTTTGACTGCCTGCAAATATTTTATCATGGCCAAATGAGTGGCCTAGTACGTTCCATTGACCTGGAGTACGACTAGTTGAGAACCAGAGCAGGCGTCAATTTTCTTTGCCCCTGCTGCCTTGCAATACCTGTAGGCGTCGTTCGAAGTGCGCCTACATTAAAAGCATGTGGTGAATATGCTTGGCACTCATAGGAAGTGAGAATTGACATATACGATTAAGGACAAGGAAAGTAGGGAGCCGCCAACAAGTTTTTAAGGAACTTATAAACCGTTCACGGATCATAAAAAGGCAACCACGAATAAGGGACAACGAAGGCAACAATGATTGACCCGTGAAGGTTACACCCCAGTCATAATCCATGAGATTACTAACTTTATATGGTTCAGAACCACGAAAGGAGGATCGGGGATGATGGTACGAAGTGAGTCATGGAGTCACATTCGCCCGTATTGGCCTCTACTCGATTCTTATAGTGAAAAGCATTTCTGTGATCTCAAAGGCATACAAACAAAATATTCAATTCGCTCCAACTATTATTTAGCTAAATTGGTTGAATATTAATGCACACATTATTTTAAAATATTGGTGATCACTACAATTAATAACAAGATTAAAAAGGATCCTAAACCAGTTGTCCAAATTATCTTATTAGGCGTGATTTTCAATTACATATTCCCTTTAACATACAATATGGTGATCATAATAACAATAATAGAATAAACATTAATATTGGAAGCAATTTAACCACAATTTCAACAATATAAAATCGTTAGAAAAATAATAGAAATAAAAGGAACATAATTCTTACTTTAATTCTGTTTGTTTGCAACTACAAAATAATAAACGAGTTAGTAACTTCAAGGAAATAATAAAACAATAATTAAATTAAATTAAATAAGTAGAGTTGATTTGGGGCCAAACCCTCAAACAGTTCTACCTTTCACGCCTTGGCTTAAAGACAAAACCACGAGTAAAGTATGGACTCCTTTGAACACTTGAAGAAGGAATTTTGAAATGAGAAGGGTAGGCTAGTGTTTAGGCTAAAGCATAGAAGAGAGAAAAGTAAAAACTAGAGAATTAATTGATGCCCTGTACATCAGAAATGAGGGGGGTATATATAGGGAAAATGTGTTGAGGGAGCACACGGAACCCCAAAATGATAAAAACCCTAAAAAAGTATCATGTGACACGGCAAACTGTACCGTGACACGGGAAATCCCACCGTCAGACGGGAAACATTCCCGTGACACGGTGCAATTTTGGTGTGACGCGGGAAATTTTCAGAAAACGGGAAAGAAAACGCGTTAAGGGTTTACGCGAAAAAAACACGGAATGTCCCGTGTCACGGGAAATCCCACCGTTAGACGGGAAGGATTCCCGTGATACGGTGGCTGTCTACCGTGGCGCGGGAATTTCAAGCCCACTTTTCCGTCTAAAAACATTTTAACCCTAATTCCATTCGGCATTTTAAGTGTCGATTGATAATGTCGGGCCTTTTCTGACTTATTATTATTTGGGCTAAAATAAGAAAATAATTAAATAAAAATAAACAAAAGGTTTGGGCTAAAAATAAAATAAAAAAGGGTTTGGGCTAAAATTAAATATAAGTTTGGGCTGAAATAAAAATTATTCTTTTACTAAACATTAAGACTAGTCCATGTAGAAACGTCAGTTTCAAAAACGATAGTCAAAGTAGCCGATAGGGACGGAGAATGATTTAAGACGTTCTGCGATCCTAAATCATTTTGTATACGCCGATACCTGCAGAAACATGTTAGTTCTACAGATAAAAGGATAAAAGGATAGAATACGTATCTGGCACCAGTGTATCGGTGACAAACGAATTTGGCAGTTTCCTATGCTTGAAGGAATCCACCTAGTGACATTTGTTGAAACGCTTTCCATGCTTGAGGAAAGCCGACTAAAGAGTTTGGTAGCTTTCTAAGCCTGAAGAAACCTACCGGATAATACTTTCCATGCGGATAATACTTTCCATGCCTGAGGAAAGTCGACGAATGAATTTGGTGTCATTTATGCTTGAAGAAATCCACCGATAATGCCTTCCATGCTTGATGAAAGCCGACAAAGGAATTTGGCGGTTTTCTATACTTGAAGAAAAATCCACCGATAACGCTTTCCATACTTGAGGAAAGCCGACTTGGCGGTTTTCTATACTTGAAGAAAATCCACCGATAACGCTTTCTAAGCTTGAGGAAAGCCGACTTGGCGGTTTTCTATACTTGAAGAAAAATCCACCGATAACGCTTTCCATGCCTGAGGAAAGCCGACGATTGCTGAAATTTGCAAGTATATGACGGTTCGATTATCCCCAAACGTGGGCCGCAGATGATTCACCCCTTCAAATCGATTATCCGACCATATTAGGTGTTTAAAATGCCGAAAAATAGACTTTGATGCTTGCTAGGGGTAAAATGGTAATTTTAGTCCCCTTTAAAAATCAGTTAGAATTTTCTGCGTAATTCCAGCGAAAAATAACTGTTCAATTTATGCGAAAAATCATGCAATTTTAGTCAAAATGTCAGGAATATTCGCAAATAACTGTGTAGGTTAGGCACAAAGCCACCGCGTCACGAAAAAGATTCCCATGACACGGCACGGTTCCCCGTCACGCAAAGCTGTTTCCCGTGAAGCGGTAGGGGGGGCCCTTCACGTGGAACAAATTCCCATGGCGCGGGAATTTGTTGGCTGAAAAATCGGTCAACTGGTATCTTTGACCAGTCAAAGCATGTGCACCACATAATATATGAGCGTTACGTGGGAACGGTGTCCGTTGCACGGGATTTTTTTTTATGGTTTTAAATATCAACCATTTCTCCTATTTTGCTCATCCACCATTCCTCTTTCTTGTCCGATTTTCACCCAAAGAAAAATCTTTTTGCTCGGATTGCCGTGTCTCGGCACGTACTCACCGGTGCTCGGAGCTTCTACCGTCGGCCGGCATAAATTACCGTATCACGGCGGTTCTGCTTCCCCCTTTTTTTTATTTTCTCTTCAACTCGCTGCTAATCACTGCTGCTTGTCATCCTGCTGTTGCCTGAAGCTGCCGCCGGTGTCGCCGGTGTCGCCGAAGCTCCGTCTCTTCTCAGGCTCACAGTGACATGGCACACACTCACCGTGTCACGGCATTGACTGACCGTGTCGCGGTGGTCTGCTGGGTTGCGGAGTTTTTTTTTTTTTCGAGCTTTTGTTGCTCGATTTTTCACCGAATTCACTCCAAATTTTTTCCATACTCCTCATATTCGAACCTCTACAAGGATCTATGTAAGTTCCTCTTAATTTTTGTCTCGAATTTGCTTCAAATGAGTAATTTCATGAAAAACCCTTGAAAATGAATTTGGGGATTTTTGATTTTGAGGTTTTATGTTGAAATTCTTGCCATGAATTTACTTGTATATGTATGTATGTGTGTTTGTGTGAAATTTGAGACAAAAATTGCATGATTTGATGAAGAATTGAGCAAATCACCATTTTTGGGTACTACTTTTTATGAAATGATGTTCATGTTACTTTTTTGCACCTGAAATGGTGAAATATTGGTGGTAAATCTTGTAAAATATGTCATTATGTGTTGATTCATTGTTTTTGTGCAATTCTGAAACATATTTCATGTATGTACTATATCGTCATGGAGAACATAGTGTCATACGGCTAGGAGAACTATAGTACTAGTTTGTCATGGAGAAACTAAATACTATAAATACTTCCATAATTTTGCCAATTTTTAGCCTTGAGGTAAAAATTTGGCGTATAATGCAATAAACAACTAAATAACATAGGAAATGATGCTAAGTATTTAGATTTTTTATAAAAATGCAAGTTGAATTAAATGTCTTAGGAAATGATGCTAAGCATTTAGATCTTTATTTTTATAATAGCATGCCTAGGCGACGGGATCGCGATCTTTCCACCCACGGCCGGCGTCAGGCTTTTTGGGAGGACACTCCCACTATTCCCGAGGGTATGGACGACGATGCCTTAGAGTCCGAGCCTTGGGCTTCTACGAGTAGAGGTAGGTGGGTTCCACCTCTGTGGACTCCGGACCAGTTGGTTTTCTGCGGTGAAAACCACGTTTCTCATCGCCCACTCTCTGGCATAGTCGACGGCACGCTTCGCTACCATGTCTTCACCAGATCATTACGAAGGATCCTGCTACGAACGTCCTATGGGAATCGGCTGATTTAGTAGATTTCTATACGACAGTCGTAGGGTTTCGCAGCCCCCAGGGTTGCAGTGCGACGGTCGTTCGCGAATTGTTGGAGTATTTTTGGGATACTACCAACACTTTTCATTTTGCTTGGGGGGAGATGACAGTGACCCCTCTAGACTTCAGTATGATTAGCGGGCTGCGCTTTACTGACCGGGCCGTAGCTCAGATGTCTGATCTGTCTTGGGGATCGGCTGAGGCAGCCAATTTGTAAGGTCCGATCGTTCAGCATATCAGAACCCGACCAATGTCTCGAGGTGGTCCTAGGAGCGGGCGATCGGAGCTGGCTTTAGTTTTAGCTCGTGGCTTCGACATGGAGGAGACATCGACTGAGCAGCGAGTGCAGATCTTCATTCTGATTCTGATCTCTATGACTCTTTCTCCTGATAGGAGTTCACACGTACTCCTTTGCTACCTCCCTTCTTTGGTTAGGATCCATGAGATAGGATCCTATAGCTGGGCCAGCCTCGGATACGCCGACCTTCTCTTATCGCTACGTCATGGCTGTCGGCAGCTGAACGACGAGTCTCCCATCACTGTCTATGGTCTGTGGAGAGTCGTAGAGGTGATGATCTTTTCCTCTTCTTGTTTCACTTTAATTTGTTCGACTCATGTGCTCAAAGATTACTTTTCATTGCAGTTATGGTTCTACGAGTACTTCCCAGGCTTGGCTCCTCGCTGGCGTCGTGGAGCGGTCCATGATTTCCTGTTGGGGCCAGCTGGCGTGATCGAGGAGAGTCACGGGTGGAGTCTGTCCCTGCGCTGCATGGGCTGCTACGCCGAGGCACCTCTTCTGTTGGCGTAAGAATTAGTTTTGTTGCCTGTTATTTTCCCTCCGACGTCGTTTCTGGTGTTTCATGCCAACTTTTTATGGTTTTCATGTTGCCATTGATGTCCAGTATCGTCCTTGGGCCGGGATGACTGATCTTCCTGAGGCCTTACGTTTGTCTGGTATTTGGGGGAGCATGTCGTTCGTCAGCATAGCGGTGATCGCTTTGTGGTGCCCTCATCTCCACCAGAGTCGATGCTGGACTCACGCTTGATTAGGGATTTGATAAACAGGGGAGAGCACTATACTTTTCCATGGCAGGAGTTTGTGCACATGGAGGGTGATTATGCGCAGGACTTGCTTCCCTCTCTAGCTCCTCCACCCCGTCTTCCTAAGGTATGATTTCTTCTAAGGATCTTTGTTACTAGTCTCTGTTTTAAATAGTTGAATAACTTGATTATTCGATTATATTTTCAGACGACTATTCGCCCTGTGGGGAGGATCGAGATTTCGCCTTAGTCTGTCCGCTATCCAAGGCCGATTGGTATCACTGAGGACCATATTGCTGACGCGCCAGAGGGTTACAGAAAGGCGCAGGAGTCTTTGCCCCAGGTCTTTGAGCCGGTAAGTTTTTTTGATGCATTATTCATCCTTTTAACACCGCTTGTTACTGACTTTTCTTTGTTTTATCCTCAGTCTAACCGCCCGGAGATGATGGGATTCATGAAGCTGGTTGACGCCCTGAAGTACTGCATCATCAAGCTTCGGCGCGGTGCGAGTTGTCGTAGCTCTAGCGACGTTCTTGAGGTATCCTTCATTTTTTTTTCACTTCTACCATTTGTTTTATTTTGCATTGCTGACACCTTTTGATTTTGTATCTTTCAGGAGCAACGGAGGTCCCGCTCGCGCTCGAGGCATAGAGGCTCGGACGAGGAGCTTGGTCGTGGTAGACGATCTCCTGAGATTCACCGGCGTTCTCATTCTCAACGAGAGCCTCAGATTACTCAGCCGTTTCAGGAGGCTCAGTGGCAGCAGCCTCAGTCTTCCCAGCGCTTTCCGGGCCAGATTCAGGGGCAGCGGCAGTCGTTTTTTACAGCCTCCACAGCCTGAGCTTGGGTCTGTCTTGACTCCCGTGGATCCTGGTTCATTTTCAGCTCCATTGTCTGGGATTCCTCCACAAGTGTCAGGCTTGTTCTCAGTTCTAATGTATGGGACGATGCCTTCACCGACGATTCCCGCGTCTTTGAGTCAGTCTACACCGTTTGCCGGTTGGACGGGTCCTGCCTTGAGTTTGACTACTGCTGGGGTCACAGGGACTAGTAGGGACACTACTCCCCGTACTCGGATGATGGAGGGACTCTTTGGCTCACCGTTCCCATATTCACAGGGTGGAGATGATACTGATTCTAGTTCTAGAGACTTTTGACCGAGTTTTTTTAGTTGTACATACTATGATGACACTTGACACTGTTTAATTATTATGACTCTTTTGTACATTATTTGTTTATGTGTTTATTATTGTGTGTTAGTGTGTGCTTGAGACTCATTGTGTGTGATCGTGTATTTATTAATGACGCGACAAAAAACGAAGTTGAGTAATGGAGGGTACCGACCTTCCCCAAAAGAAAAAGAAATAAAAAGACAAGTAAAAATAAATAGAACGAGTAAACAAAATGATAAAGAGAAAAATAAAAAATAAAAAAATAAAATATTAAAGTGATGAATAAATAAAGATAATAATAAAAATAAAATAAAAATAAAAAAGTTGAGAATTTTATTAGAAATAAAACTCTTAGAAAACTGAAAAATAAACGGTGAAGATAAAATACTAAAAAAAATCTGGATAGATACGGGAAAGGATGAAAAAAGAAAACGTGTGGGGTGCCGTGACACGGCACTTTATACCGTGTCACGGCAAAAACTGCCGTGTCGCGGCAAAAGTTCCCGTGACACGGTGGGATTTCCCGTGTCACGGTACGCTTATTCCGCAACGGTGTGTTTTACGCGTATGAAAAGATAATTTCTGAGCAGTTTCGAGCGCTTTTGCTATAAAATAGGACCAGTATATTCATGATATGCATAATTACGAAACACAAAATAATTTAGAATTTCATATTTCAATAATCATGTCTCAGAATTTTGATAATACATTGCGCGACTGGTCTTATTCTTTGACCAATGCTAACAAAAGAGAGTTAGAATTATTTCATGTCAGGGGTTTGCTAGCCCTGCGACATGTAGCTATTGAACATGATTTTCTTAGGGCAGCATTAGATTATTGGAGTCCAGAAACACAATGTTTTAAATTTGATTATGATGAAATCTGTCCCCTGCCAGAGGAATTCGGTGCAATCTTTGTATTTCCTGCTAGAAATCTTATTGCCATGCCTACCTACGTGACTATTATTACCAAGATTTTGAACTCCATCTAAATCTAACAGATCCAGATTTAAATAGAATTGTGTGAGGTAATGAGGTAGACTCGGAAAAACTTGCAAATTTATATTTTAATCGCCCTGTCTCTGAGTCTTATCATGTATATCGTAGAAGGGCATATATTTTTTGCATGTTTAGAAAGCTTTTATTTGCAAACGGTAGGGTAGGACATGCTTGTCTACCGTCTGTGCTTGAACATGTCGAATCTGGAAGATCTCCTATGCCGACGTGCCTTGGAGAAACATTTCGTGGCCTTGACGAAGCAAAAGCTGACCGGAAAGCCATCAAGAAGGGCTCTCTGGTACTGCTGCAGGTAAACATACTCTCCGAGTAGCCCCCGTGACACAAAACAGGCACCGTGTCACGGTGGGTGTCTGCCGTGACATGGTGAAATCTGCCGTGTCACGGGAATCTTCAATTTTTTTTTTTTTTTTTTGCAGATTTGGTTGATGGAGCGTTTAGAACTATTTAGAGCCCCCGACGATGTTGAAAAATATGGCCCTAACGACCTAGTCCGCAGGAAAAAGAATTACTCTGCGAACATGTCGTATGAAGACTGGAAAATTTTCTTTGCAAAGAGGGAATTTTCCATTCGTTGGGTGGTGCCTTGGTGGAGGCTTACTAGGATGGTTGGCACGAATGATATTCCATATTGCCGTGTTCCTAGTATCTCAAAACTGACTTTTTATTGTCCTTCTCGACTGATGCAACAGTATAGACTTGAACAAGTAGTTCCACGCTATAACGATAGTCCTCGTGAAGTATCGTTGCATGAAAGTAACGTTCACAAGTACGAGACTTACTGGATTGGAAGACCTTTATGGACCGTTTCTGCAAGTGACCAAGCTCCTCCTCCTTTATCTAGTGTATACAAGGCATGGTTGAACCCTAGAAGTAGGAGGGAGCGATTCGATTCACGCAAGTCTTATGTGAAGAGTCGTCTTGGAAATAAGAAAGCCCCTCCCAAAGATCGTCTAGGTCCGAGAACACAAGGGATTGAGTTTAAGACTCCTATAATGGCAAAAAGGAAGAGTTATGTGAAAGGGAAGGGTAAAGAAAAGATGGTCTATAGAGAGAAACAACCGAAGAATTTCAAGAAAGGTGAAAGGGGTGAAAGTTCGACTAGGGGTGTGACGGTTCGGGCTACAAAAGACACATTAATGGTGAAGGCCAACCTAATTGACCGAGAGAAGGATGTTCCTAAAGTGAAGAGAGATTAGATCAATATTGCTTTGCTTTTTATGACTTATAATTTTTATTTAAAATAAGGCATAAGATGCCAATAATTGTAGTCACATTTATTTCAATAATAATAGCATATTTATTTCAGCCTTAAATAAAAAATTACAATGACTTTTATTTATTATTTATTTATCCGAGTCAAGGAGTCGGACGCAATGGAAGAACGAAAATAAAAATAACCTCGAACAAACAATGAATTCGCAACGAATGCGTCACTAAAAAAAATCGGAAAACCTGAAATTCCACCGTGTCACGGTGAAAAATCCCGTGACACGTTACAAATTCCCGCGTCACGGCAATTTATTTTTTTCACTCAGGTCCACCGCGCCACGATGGACTGTACCGTGACACGGCGGAATGTCCCGTGTCACGGCAAAAAGCCTTTTTTTTTGTCGTCATGCAATGCTGAACTGACTCGCATATTTGATGGACAGAGGGAGGATTTTTTTTTTTAAAGTGCCTACGTATCCTGAAAAGGAATCAGGCGAAACGTAGCTCTATTGGGTCATGAACCCATGCGACTAGTCATAGAATTTCTTGAGTTGATCCAAGTTGGTTAAATTGTGGAAGCCGTTACCGTCCATGTCTGCCAATTGTGCTGCTCAGCCAGACAGGATGGCTTTAACAATGTACGGGCCTGACCAATTCGGTCTGAATTTTCCTCTTAGATCTAACACATTTTTACGAAGTGCCTTAAGCACCAGGTCACCAACTTTGATGTTCCTAGTCTTGACTTTTTTATTAAAATGTCGCGCCATACGCTGTTGGTAGATTTGGACATGATGCGAAGCTGCCAAGCGTTTTTCATCAAGTAAGACTAGTTCATCATATCTTGCTCTAATCCATTCGACTTCATCTAATTGGCTTTCCAATGCGATTCGAAGAGAAGGGATTTCGAGTTCTATTGGTTGTACAGCTTCAACTCCATAGACCAAAGAGAAAGGAGTAGCCCCCGTTGATGTACGAACAGAGGTTCGATATCCCCCAAGGGCGAAATGTAGCTTACTTGGCCAATCCTTGTAATTTTCTGTCATCTTTTCGATGATAGTTTTAACATTTTTGTTGGCCGATTCGACTGCACCATTTGTTTGTGGTCTGTAAGGTGATGATCTGTGATGCTGGATATGATATTTCTGCAATAGTTCCGCGCATTCGGCTTGGAAATGCGTTCCATTATCACTGATCATTTCATGTGGTACCAGTAGACACCTAAAAATGTCTCCCCAAAACCAAACCCGTTGATGAACACCTTTCACCGCCATTATTGGTTGAGTTGAGTAATTAATCTTTGGAGTGCCTAAATCCATGTTCTATCCAATATATTTCATGAACCAATCCAATTTCTAGCTCATTTTCCTAAACCATAATCTATTTTCCGATTTTTGTGTCAACATCGCAAAACTGAGAAGAAACTGATTTTATGGATATACAATCTTTGGATATGCCTTTAAATAATATTTCCAACCATATATCATAAGCCCAATTCCGAGCTATAAAGAAAAAAATATGAGCAAAACACTAAACTCGGCCTAAAACCAACACCTTTCCACTAAAACATCAATATCTTCAAATTTACAAATCATTTTTACTTGATTCTGATTGGGTTGGAAAGTAGACTTGATAAGATTTCCAATGATATATTATATGCCTTACTTCGAGTTACGGATCAAAAGTTATGATTATTTTAAAAACGAGTAAAAAAACTGAAATTACCGCGTAGCAGCAAAAATGTGGCGACACGGCAAAAGCTGACGTGTCACGGGGCTGATTCCCGTGACACGGTGCCCATTTTAGTATTTATGCACAATTTTCTCCCGTGTCACGGTGCAATTTTCCGTGTCACGGTGCCCATTCCGTGACACGGGAATATTCCGTGTAATTTCCGCGTACTTTTTACACCGTGACACGGCATACTGCACTATGCCACGGTGGACAATGCCGTGCCATGGAATTTCTTCCCGTGTCACGGTGCACATCCCATGCCACGGGATTTGGTCCGTGTTTTCTCCGCGTAATGCCTAAACGCGTTTTCACTTCCCGTAACCTAAATATTTCCCGTGTCACGCAAATTTGTACCGTGTCACGGGAAAGTTTCCCGTCTGACGGTGGGATTTCTCGTGTCACGGTACACTTTGCCGTGACGCAGGATACGTTTTTAGGGTTTTTATCATTTGAGGATTCCGTGTGCTCCCTCAGCACATTTTCTCTATAAATACCCCCTCATTTCTGATGTACGAGGCACCAATAATCATTCTCTCTCACCTTACACCAAAAATCATTCTCTTCTCCCTCTTTAACCTTATTTCTAGCCTCCTTATTCTTTCATAACAATTCCCCTAAGCACTCCAAGGAGTCTATAATTAACCCGAGGTTCCGTCCTTAAACCAAGGCGTGAAAGGTACAAATAACTGAGGGTTTGGACCAAATCAACTCTACTTTTTATTTAATTTAATTTTCATTTACTTTATATTTTTTTTATTAAAGTTACTAACAGTTTATTCATGATGTAGCAATTTAAAGGAACGCGCGGAATGTAAGTAATTAATTAAATTAATTACTCTTATTTTATTTTATATTGCTAGTATCATGATTAGGTTATTTTATATTTGATTTGTCTAACGCTATTATTGTTAAATTGCTTCCAATGTTAACGTTTATTTTATTATATTTATTGATCACCATATTGCATGTTTAAAGGGAATATGTAATTGAAAATCACGCCTAATA